GCATCTAGAAAGCTGGAAAGAAAATGGTGCTCCACTGACATTGAAGAATTCTACTTATCTTGGAGAGATAGTCTGCTAACATACAAAAAAGCTCTCCGTAAAGCTAGAACTTCATATTATTCATCTTTAATTCATGAGAATAAAAATAACCCCAAGTTCATTTTCAGTACCATAGCTAGTCTAATGAAAAACCCCATCTCTGTTGAACCATGTGTCCCTACAACTATAAACAGTGATGACTTCATGAGATTATTTATAAATAAAATTGTTTCAATTAGGGTAACATTTAAAACCAACATTCCTAGTATCACCTCTGGTTCTGTGTCGATGAGACAACTTTAAAAATGTCACTAGAACCTGATTTATGTTTGGACTGTTTTTGTCCTGTTGAGCTCTCTGAGTTGTCTAAAATAATGGTTTCATCCAAACCATCCACATGTCTGCAAGATCCCATCCCAACCAGACTGTTTAAAGACGTATTGTCCTTAATTAATAACCATGTCTTGGATCTGCTTAATTTGTTTTTAATGAATAGTTATGTACCACAGAGCTTTAACATTACTGTCATTAAACCTTTACTTAAGAAACATAATCTTGACTCCAGAATACTAGCCAATTATAGATCTATATCTAATCTAACTTTCATCTCAAAAATAGTTGCAGGTCAGTTGTGTGAACATCTACAAAGAAATAATCTGTTTGAAGAGTTTCAGTCAGGGTTTAGAGCTCATCATATCACAGAAACAGCACTAGTAAAAGTCACTAATGATATTCTCATGGCCTCTGACAATGGACTTGTGTCTATACTGGTCCTGTTAGACCTCAGTGCTGCATTTGATACAGTTGAGCATAATATTTTACTACAGAGACTTGAATATGATGTTGGGATTACAGGAACGGCTCTAAATTGGTTTAACACATATTTATTTGATAGATTCCAATTTGTAAATGCAAATAATGAATCTTCATCATACACCAGAGTTAGTCATGGAGTTCATCAGAGTTCAGTGCTTGGACCAATACTCTTTACTTTATATATGCTTCCATTAGGTAAAGTTATTAAACAGCATGGGATACATTTTCATTGTTATGCTGATGACACACAATTATATTTGTCTATGAAACTTGATGAATCCAATCAGTTACTTAGACTACAAGCATGTCTTAAAGACATAAAAACCTGGATGACCCTAAATTTTCTGCTTTTGAACACAGACAAGACTGAGGTTTTAGTTTTTGGACCTGAGCATCTTAAGAATTTTTTTTTTCTCAGTCTTTCGCCGTCCTTGGATGGCATTAACCTGGCCTCCAGCTCTAATGTTAAAAATATTTTTGGTTTCATTTGATACTATTTCTATCTTAACATTCTTGACCTGCCATTGTGTATCTGTTCCTACCAAACCCAGCCGGTCGAAGCAGATGGCCGCTTGTCCTGATCCTGGTTCTGCTAAAGGTTTCTTCCTCATGAGGGAGTTTTTCTTTCCACTGTCGCCTTCATGCTTGTTCAAGATGAGAGTTCAGTGATGGAGTTAAACTCAAAGCTGCTCCTCAGATAAACAATGTTAAATTATTATTTTATATATGAATGTTTCTGTTCGGTGTCCTGAGACGACTTCTGATGTGACTTGGAGAAATAATATATAATATATAGAAATAAACTGAATTGAATTTACTGTCATCTACATCAGCCCACATCTGTCTACACCTTTAGATTTCTGTCTTTAACATTAAACTTTCTTGAAACACAATGTTAACAGGAAACTATCAGCTATAAATCGTGACACAGTTCTCATAATGATGGCCTGCACATGTTAGTGCTACTTCCTGTTTGTTTCCTCATGTGTCTGTGCATGTGTGTGTGTGTTGACATTTTGTTTCCTGTGTTCAGTGGAACAGGTGACCAACGTTGTTCTTTACTCCAACGACAAATATGTGAAGTCTGTGGCCAGAGAAGAGACCGAGTGAGTGTTTTTGTTTGTCTCACAGGACGTCTCACTGTTGAAGACTTCATGTTGATGTGATTATTTGTCTGACAGGGACTCTGTCCCCTCTGGGACCACCCTGACGAAGGAGTACACCCTGCACCCGCTGCTGGCCTACAACAAGGAGCGCAGAGGAATCGCTCTAGATGGACGACTCAAACATGAAGACACCAACCTGGCTTCATCTAGCATGTAGAGACCCAAACCCACACACTGTCCTGTTAAAGAGCCGAGCCTGCAGGACCCCTTTTAGGTTCTGAAGGACGGGTCCACAGACCAGTTCTCTATCTGATAAGATCAGAATCAGCAGATCTGTCTGAACCTTTACAGTCAGGAACCAAAGTGGAACCAACATCTTCCTGCAGGTTCATTTCTTCTCTCTGTATCTTGATCTGAGACTAAAAACATCTGAACCTCATGAGGGTGACGTGGATCTGTTGTTCCTCTGCCAAGCCAGCAGCGTTGATTCGTTTTACTTCAACTGTTGCTTCAACTCGTTGGACAAAAACTGAAAAACAACAACAGTTCTGGGTGTGAGCAGCATGGGGCACTGCAGATGTAGCTGCAGATGTGGCTGCAGATGTTGCAGTATAGTAGATGTTGCTGCAGATGTTACAATATAGTAGATTTTGCAGTATATGTTGCTGCAGATGTTGCAGTATAGTAGATGGAGCTGCAGATGTGGCTGCAGATGTTGCAGTACAGTAGATGTTGCTGCAGATGTTGCAGTAGATGTTGCTGCAGATGTTGCAATAGATGTTGCAGTACAGTAGATGTTGCTGCAGATGTTGCTGCAGATGTTACAGTACAGTAGATGTTGCAGTAGATGTTGCAGTACAGTAAATGTTGCTGCAGATGTTGCTGCAGATGTTGCAGCAGATGTTGCTGCAGATGTTGCAGCAGATGTTGCTGCAGATGTTACAGTACAGTAGATTTTGCTGCAGATGTTGCAGTAGATGTTGCTCCTCATTTTGCAGTAGATGTTGCAGCAGATGTTGCTGCAGTACAGTATATGTTGCAGTAGATGTTGCAGTAGCTGTTGCTCCTGATGTTGCATAGATGTTGCTGCAGATGTTGCAGTACAGTGGATGTTGCTGCAGATGTTGCTCCTGATGTTGCATAGATGTTGCTGCAGATGTTGCAGTACAGTGGATGTTGCTGCAGATGTTGATTCTGATGTTGCTGCAGATGTTCTGCAGATGTTTCAGCAGATTTTGCTCCTGATGTTGCAGCAGATGTTGATGCAGATGCTGCTGCAGATGTTTCAGCAGATGTTGCAGTAGATGTGACTCCTGATGTTGCTGCAGATGTTGCAGTAGATGCTGCTGTAGATGTTTCAGTAGATGTTGCTGCAGATGTTTCAGTAGATGTTGCTGCAGATGTTGCAGTAGATGTTGCTGCAGATGTTGCTGCAGATGTTGCAGCAGATGTTGCAGCAGATGTTGCTGCATATGTTACAGTACAGTAGATTTTGCTGCAGATGTTTCAGTAGATGTTGCTCCTCATGTTGCAGTAGATGTTGCAGCAGATGTTGCTGCAGATGTTGCAGCAGATGTTGCTGCAGATGTTACAGTACAGTAGATTTTGCTGCAGATGTTGCAGTAGATGTTGCTCCTCATGTTGCAGTAGATGTTGCAGTAGATGTTGCTCCTGATGTTGCATAGATGTTGCTGCAGATGTTGCAGTACAGTGGATGTTGCTGCAGATGTTGCTCCTGATGTTGCATAGATGTTGCTACAGATGTTGCAGTACAGTGGATGTTGCTGCAGATGTTGATTCTGATGTTGCAGTAGATGTTGCTGCAGATGTTCTGCAGATGTTTCAGCAGATTTTGCTCCTGTTGTTGCTGTAGATGTTGCAGCAGATGTTGATGCAGATGCTGCTGCAGATGTTTCAGCAGATGTTGCAGTAGATGTTGCTCCTGATGTTGCTGCAGATGTTGATGCAGATGTTGCAGTAGATGTTTCAGTAGATGTTGCAGCAGATGTTGATGCAGATGCTGCTGCAGATGTTTCAGCAGACGTTGCAGTAGATGTTGCTCCTGATGTTGCTGCAGATGTTGCAGTAGATGCTGCTGTAGATGTTTCAGTAGATGTTGCTGCATATGTTGCAGTAGATGTTGCTGCAGATGTTGTTGAGTGCAGAGTTCTGATTTCTGTTTGTTTCAGTGTGAAGCAGGAGGTTCTGAAGGAGGTTCAGGGGATGCTCGTCTCCTACAAGGTGGTGCTGAGGATGATCGCCTCCGGGTGAGTGAGAGCCGCTTTACATGCTGGAAATGTTTTCACCACAGTTTAACATGTGTAGCAGCCGGAACTGAAACTTCTGAGTCAGTTTTGTCAATCTGTTAGTTCTCTAAATGTAGAAGGGAGTTTGTTGAACTTCCTGTTGATCACATGACTCACAGGCTGCTCCTGTCAGTCGTCTCTGAGGGAAAAACTAACCCTGTGAACTCACTGTTTCTTCTCTTTTTGCTCCTCATCAACAGGATGGTAGGGTCCAGGTACGTGCACACTCACAGTTCTGTGTGTTTGATCTGACGTGCATGCTCACAGCTCTGTGTGTTTGATCAGAGATGTTCCTGATTTTAGTATTTTACATTGCTTTAATTATAATGTAGCTGTTTTTGTTTAATTTTTATTTCTTCCATTTACTTTTCATTTCAGAGGAAGGTCTGAAACAGTCGTCTGTTGTCGTCTGTTGTCCGTTGTTGTCTGTTGTCGTCTGTTGTCGTCTGTTGTCGTCTGTTGTCTTTGTCTGTTGTCTTTGTCTGTTGTCATCTGTTGTCGTCTGTTGT